TTGAGTGTGAAATGATTGATTGGTTTGAACTCCAATAGTTCTTCCTGAACTAATGGACTTCAGCAGGGCCCAAACTGGACCCTGGAGACTTGCTTCCTTATTTCTTGCAATCCTACCTCTCAGTGCAGCATTCCTACCTAACCCTTTCTTTTGCTTATTTGCAGTTTTTTAGTTTACTAGTTGATCAAATCATCCAATTGGTTGAATACTTATAACAGCCTCATCTGATGATATTCTTCAATATTGCAAATGTTCTTAATAATTCACACTGTAATATGTTATCCAAATTTTAGTTTCCAATAGGCACAATTGTACTTATACAACTCCTCTGTGATAATATAACACAGATAACTACCTCTGTAATGGTATAATGTTTGACGAATAACAAATAAAACCGGAGAAACTCCGCACAGCTGGCTGTTTGACGTATATGCTAGTGGATAGACACTGGAAAAGTTATTGATTTTATCTATTAACTCAATGCATTTTTCTTATCATTTGATATTTAAATTTATATCATTTAACCAAAATTAGATACAGCTTTTCACATAGAACTTTAATTAAAACACAATTTATGCAGGTATGTTGGCACACACCTTTAATCCCAGCCCTTGTGGACAGAGGCAGGTAGAATTCTATGAGTTTGAGATTAACTTGATCTACATAGTGAGTTCCAGGACAGCCAAGACTGCATAGAATGACTTCATCTCAAAATAAATAAAAACATATTTATGTTAGAATATCTGATAATCGTGTGAAGATCTCTATTTCTCACAATCTTTAATATAGAGCCTGTGACCTAATCATGTTCACACTCAACTCTGGCTATGAGGTAAACCTTCCAGCACTACCTCCTGGTATGTTTGCATCCCAAGGAGAGGATCTGTTTTTATAATGAGGAATATGTAACACATTTTTAACCTTTATTTTAGCACATATTTTGCTAATTTAAAATTCTCTTGTATCCGTTTCACCAATTGAGGACAGGAGGAATTCAGTGACTTTATTTCTAATGTCATTAGTGATATAAAGACAGGGAATAAATTGATTTCCTTTTCTCTAACTAACAGTCATTCTTTTAGACAGATTCATTTATATCAGCTAAAACAAGCATTTAGAAGCTGGGTCAATGATATGTCAAAGTGTTTTAATGAATGAAGTCTCAAATTATGCCATAGAGTTCAACAACTCAAAAAGAAAATAAATTGTATTGCATTTTATTTGAATTATAATATGCTTGCATACCAGGTGTTTTTTCTGTGATTTACACATAGTACATTGGGAAAGGTAATTAGAGGGCCACTGAGGGCCGTATAAGTATTATCCTATCATCTTTTGAATTCAAGAATGTATTAATAATTTTAACTGACTTCTAATATTTTCTGTCTTTGATATTTCACCAGAAATAAACTCTTCCAGTAGTATCAAGAGACACATTGCAATAACATATTTATTTTAAGTCTCTTTCTGCTTTCTATATTGTAAGAAACTATATTCTTATTGTCTTCCTGACACTGGACACTCCTCCAGGCATCCAGTGATTCATCCTTACAGTTCTTTGTGTAGGCTCAGTTTCCATAGACACCACAAGTGCTTACAATATCCCTAGCAACTGTTCTTAGATTTTTTTTTCGTTTAGCAAGACAATATCACCACTTACACATAGAGTTGTATTCATTGTTTCACGAGATGTCTAACAGGTGCTTCTTTTAACTTCATTATTGAGAAATTCAAGATATATTTGAGAAATTTAAATTGTGCCAAGTTGATGCACCTTAACCATACCATACATCCTTTTATTCTGATATGGCACTTCCAATGTGTAGTGTTTAGCACAATGTGGACTCCTTTTAAGGTATGCAAATATTAATAAATGCACCTGTCCAATCTTTTGTAAGGAACTAAGAGTTCATCGGCTTTCAAACACAGAAAATACTGATAAAAATAGTACATTTCAACAACTATGCACATTGAACAGAAAGAAAATTAGCAACCAGGATATAATTCAATTTCTCTCTATTCATTATACTTCAACAATTATTTCTTTGACATCTATTTTAATAAACAAAAGCTCTACTTAGTGATATTATACAACTAAGAAAATTATTCTTTTAATTTTTAAAATTTTTATCATCTTCCTGGGCATAGACACATTTTGTAAATAATAGGTTATTAAAAATATAAACAAAATTTTGTGTATGTGGCTCAAAGATGATGCCTTTAATTCATTATAATAATAAGTAGTAAGATTGACTGAGTCTAGAATTGGAAATTATACTTTACCAACAAGCCAATGTTTAGATTTGTACAGATAACCAATGTCACTTAGTTATTTGATTGTAGTTAGTTAGCTTGTTTTGACCAGCTCTTTTTATATTGCCTTCATTGTGCTGCAACAGTCTATTTACCCTAGACTTGTTTAAAATTCCATCTTCAGATACTCCCCTTCAAATAACTACAAATATTCGATTTCAGATAACCCTCCCACCTGCTGGGATTACAGATGTGGGCTAGCACATTCATCCAGCTAAGACTGGCCCTGTTAATTAAAAAAAAAAGGCTGGTAATAAAGGGGCAATGTGAACAAGACCACAATAGCAGAAAGGATGGTTAAAAACAGAATAGACACAAGTAACTGAGACCATGCCTGTGGACCAGTGCCCCTGGCCTTTGCACTCAATGGGATCAGGTCTGCTAGGAGTGCACAGACAGGAGAGCATGGCAGATTCTTGATGCCATATATAGAAATATTTCCAGGCCATTCAGTGCTCTGCATGATATATTTAGCCATTACTCAGATAAAAAGGGTTTATGTGCTGCACACTCCTTTTCAGAGTCGAGCTGGTGAGTGCAGCTCCTACCTGGCAGTCCAGAGCTGGTAGTAAAGATACCTAAGCTGTTTTGAAAAGTGGAGAGAGGAGGAGTCAGCACCCATGTCCACTGGCCCAAGCTGCTCACCATTTTTAAAAAGCTCTTCTGGACAGAAAAAGATTTCAGATACACAATAGGACAGGTTCAGACATAAAATACCTTTAAACAAGACACAGTGTATTTAAAAAAAATGTACTTAGGCTTCGAAGAGAGAAGAAAAAGTGTAAAGAGACAGGAAATGTAATATAAAAGAATAGAGACATTCATAGATTAAAGGGGTAAATAGTGAAATAAATATTAAACTTGTAAAAGTAATAGAATAAAAAACATAAAGATGGAATATGCACAGAGAGTCTAGATTATGTATATTATTGTGTTTTATTTAAACTTTTGACTGCTAAAGTGCTAAGTACAGAGAGACATTTCATTGTATGAGCTGCTAAGGTAAATCAACTTAAATATCTTAAAGGTCTCTTGACTTCAAAATATGGGTTAAAGAATATGTTGCTTTGGGAAAAAAGGTTCTTCTTTTGTTTCTACAGAAGATGAGAACCTGTGAATTCCCTGCAGACTAATGTAACATGATTGTCCAAAATCCCCTGAAAGGTCAGTGTAAATATTTCCAAAAATTACTTTACCCGACAAAAAGTAGGAAGCAGTTTGGAGAGAAATGCACCCAGATTTCCAAATAGTGTTTATAAATGTTTGTTGACATTTCAAGGTGGAAATGCTATAGAGATTTGTAGTTTTTTTTCCTCTGTCTCAGTGTCAACTGCAGACTGTCTTTCTTCTTCCTCTGTGTCTCAGTGACAACTACAGACTGAGTCTTTCTTCTTCCCAGAATTCTCTTGTTCTCATTGTCCCACCTCTACCTCCTGCCTGGTTGCCTCACCTATACTTTCTGCCTGGCTACTAGGCAATCAGTGTTTTATTAAAACAATATAAATGACAGTGTACAAGACCATCGTCCTACAGCAGGACACCCTTGGAAACAGCTATCTGACCTATGGGAACTCACAAATTCCAGCTTTGGACCAGCATTGGACTTAACTAGACCCTCTGAATGTGGGTGACAGTTGTATGGCTAGGTAGACTATAGGACCACTGGCAGGGGTACCAGGAATTATCCTTACAGCTTGTACTGGCTTATAGGAACCCGTCCTCTTTGAATAGATACCTTGCTCAGCCTAAGTATTGTAGGGACTGCCTTGGACCTTCATCAAAGAAATGTGCCTTACCCTCTCTGAGGAGTGTATGGGGAGTGTGGTTGGGGAAAGTTGGAGGGAATGGGACAGGGGAGAGAGTGGAAATTGGAATTGGTATGTAAAATAAAAATACAATTTATTTTCTTTTCTTAAAACTTAAGACTGCCTCTTAGTTTATAAATCCAGTATAGTTGCCTCTAAAATTATTAAATTAATAAACACTATGATCTCTTTTCATATTATGTTCTACAACTATCAGAAATCTACTAATCCATATTATAACCTTGGTAATTAAGTAACAATGAAAATGGCATATATATGTGAGAAAGGAAATGATGTTGCTAAACCTATTTCTTTCAGTGGTGCCTCTGGGTAAAATTTTTATGCATTTTTCTTTGATGAACTGTTCTGACTTTGCCTTTCATCCCAGGAAGATACAAATTAAAAGAAAACAAGCATCAAGGAAACAAATAACCCAGTTAGAAATAGAGTATTGAAATAAGCAGAGAATTCTAAGAATATGAAGCATAAATACCTGAGAAACATTTAAAGGCATGTTCAAAATCCTTAGTTTTCAGGAAAATGTAAATTAATACTACTTTCCAACTTCCTCTGACCCAAATCAGAATGACCAATATCAATAAATGGCAGCTCATGCTGCTTTAGATGCACAGAAAACTGAAAGAGGTGTCTATTGCTGGGAGGAGTGCAAACTTGTACAGACATGTTGAAATTAGGAGCGGCAGGGCTGCGTCCCCGGCACCCGGCCGCCCGCATGGCTAGCTTATGCCCGAAATAATTACACGGAAACTGTATTCTTTCAAACACTGCCTGGCCCGGCTAGGTCCAGTTTCTTATTGGCTAGCTCTTACATATTGTTCTAACCCATTTCTAATATTCTGTGTAGCCTATGAGCTGGCTTACCAGAGAGGATCTTAAACTGCGTCTGTCTGGACTGGGAGCATCATGGCGACTCACTCACTCAGCTTCTTTTTCCCAGCATTCTCCTCTGTCTACTCCGCCTACCTAATTTTCTGTCCTATGAGGGCCGAGGCAGTTTCTTTATTATTAACCAATTAAATCAACAGATAAGATACAAGACCCACCTCCATCACAGACACAATGAAAAAATCAGTCCGAAGGTTCCTCTGGAAGCTGGGAATAGGTCTACCTTAAGATCCAGCTATGCCAATCCTGGATATCATCTCAGTTAGGATTTTTATTACTGTGAAGAGACACCATGACTACAGAAACTCTCATAAAAGAAAACATTTAATTGTGGTGTGCCGCTTACCAATCTAAGGTTCGGTCCATTATCATCATGGGGGGACATAGCAGCAAGCAGGCAAGCGTGGCTTTGGAGAAGAAGCTGAGAGTCCCACATCCTGCACAGGCAGTAAGAAGTTGACTGAGATACTGATTTTGATTTGTTTATTATAAGCAAAGAAAAGAAAGAATTTTATAATTTTCAGTACTACTTTTGCAGCATGTAAAATCAGATAACATATATTTCTCTAAATTTTCATATATATTTTATTTTTTATGTAAATTAATAATAATTCACACATAATATAAAGTAAAAGAATAAAACACTATAGTTTTGATAAACATGTAGATGCAGGGAAGAACTAAAGTTTCATGGGTTTTATGTTTAATTTAATTACATAAGTGGGCCCTGAAAGGGAAATATTTTTATATACAAATATTTTATATTTTGATACCTAAAGCCAATGATGTAACACACCTGGATACAATGTACATCATTCACACTCCCATTTGGGATTCTTCTGAGAAGTCATAATATAAGGCTGGTTATATTTAACTAACAGACTATAAATTATCAAAGAATATCAGAAGCTTTGTTTTTATGATGTTTAAACAACCTGTGGCTTCTTGATGTCCCATTGAATAAAATGAAATGTTTGTAATTGCCAAGTGCTCATTGTTTCCTGGCCACCCACACCCAAATAATCACACAGAAACTATATTAATTGCAATATTTCTCAGCCAATGAATCAGTTATGTTTCCATCTAACTCTTACATATTGAATTAGCCTATTTCCATTAATATGTGTATTGTCATAAGGTTGTGGCTTTCTCGAAGGATCTGGGTCTTTCTCCTTTGGTAACTACATGGTATCTCCTTGACTCTGACTACTCTCTGTATATATCTCTGTTCATATTTTCCACCTGGGTTTGCTCTGCTAAGCCATTGGTCAGAAGAGCTTTATTCATTATCCAACAAAAAAGAACACATATACAGAAGGACATCCCACATCACTTGTTACTCATTTCCCAATTGAGGAATGCATTATTAGTCTAGAATCATGCATTTGAGCATTATTGAGATTCACAGACAAGTCTCTTAAATTCCAAATTTGTACACTGATGCTATGTAAAGCATGAAGTAAGCAATTGGTCTCTGAATTTTCAGAGAAGAGGAGAAATGGAGCATATTAATTCTGAATGCTTTGAGGTAGAGCTGGCAGAAGGAGAATAGGAGCAGATAGATATCTGCAACATTTTAGGGTCTTGTTTCTCATAGCATATATTCTATAAAGAAAAGTAGATTGCTAAATATAGTGACACAAAATGAGCTTTCTGTATCAAAATGCATTTTGCCAGAGAAACTATTTCAAAAACTAAAGGTAGCAAAATGAGTGAAAAACTTGCAAAGCCACAACAAGCTATGAAAAAGAAGTGAGGTTGTCCACTAGCTGCACTGTTTACATCCATTTCAATGTTATTTTTTCAGATGACTTCTGAATTAGCATCTGTTTACTCACTTCTCTTATAGGCATGATGTATTATTTGCTTGGTTCAGAAAAACTCATACAAAGAAATGATGTGCCAGCTCCAAATTCATAGCTCTCTCTCTCACTAATTGCTATTTTATAAGCACACACACACATACACACTCATACACACACATACACACAAAGTGACAGACAGACACAATCATAGATACTTATACACATACAGGTACAACCTGCTCAGTCTGTATAATGATACTTCTGTTTATATACTTTCAGCACTGACCATTTGGCACTGGATAAGCAATTGGTGTGTTCAATCTTATGAAAGTCTATTTAACCTGCTCACAGCATTTCTTAGATATCATCCTTATTCAGCTCATGCTTAGACAAGTATATGACAGTTTATGAATGTAGCTTCTGACATTTCTATGAGATACCTTCTAATGTTTTAAACTGTTCCTTTGGTTCTTTGTTGTTGTAGGATAATCTATTTGTACACTGTGAAGAGGTGTTTCTTCCAAGGCACCCTCTTGTTGGTTTAATAATTAAAGAGCCAAATGGTAGATACCTAGGCAGGGGAAGATAGGCTGGACTTCTGGGTGAAAGATAGGAACTCTGGGAAGAATGTGAAGTGTGCAGGATTTGGTAACAAAACACAGAGGAAATCACATGTACTATATAGAGGAGAGGTAAAAAGCCATGTAGGAAAACTTAGATTAATATAAATAGGTTTATTTAAGTTGAAGAGCTTCTTGAGAACATGTCTATGCTAAATCAAGCTTTAGTAATTAAAGGAATCTCCATGTCATTATAAAGGAAGACCAACTCTAGCTCGCACAGTGTTTTGGTCCAGTCTTCAGGAAAAATCCCTGAGCCTTAGGTTTCAATGTTGTACTGAAACTGTACTTTTGGAAATGGCTCCACTACTCTGCAATTTGTTTGATTTTTGTTTTCTACAATCGTCTCCCTTTATTGCAAAGGGAAGTTTCCTTGATGAAGGTGAGAATGCTGTTTATCTCTGCATACAAGGACAAGTCATTGGAATGTAGTTAGATCTAATGGTGGTTTTGTAAAGTGGCGGTTGTTATATCTCCTTTTCTAAGATCCACAATATTAGGAAATTTAAAATGAAAGCCCAGTAAGAGAAATTAAATTCAACTTCATATGAACAGAAACATCTGATAAAGCTAGAAACCATATTGTTCTTATTGTTTATCATGTAGAAGTTAGAATGTAATGAACCATTAGAAATAAATACAGCAGTTACAAGGATTTTGATGCCTTAATATCTGGTAATAAATATTTTCCTCAGCTTATATCATTGAGTCAAGTCCTGTATTTACTTATACATGTATTTCTACATCTTGCCTATTTCCACCAAAATGATTTTGAGACATTCAGGTTTAAAAGCACATTAAACAGGATCATTGAAATGCATGTCTGAAAATGCAATTTAAATGAAGGGGAAATAAAATTACTTGCAATAGGATAATATGATTACTGTAATTGAGTACAAATTTGAAAATTGGGCTTTCTGGGAGTTTGCGCATAATAAAATGTTGTTACATACTAGACATCCCTTTCAGCAGATTAACTATCTTATTTTCCTTACTCAGCAATCCAATAATCTAACAATGGAAAACTTAAGGCTGCAAATTTTACAGGACTTAAAGAATTGTAGCAAGTTTATTTAGCTCATGCCTTTGCAATTTATAGGCATGTACTGTTCCCAACCTGCAGCTTCATCATTATTTAAATAGAAGCAATAAATAACTCATTTAATAAGTTATTAATAAATTAGCATAATATATGCAATATTATAAAAATTAATAGAATAGCTTATATTTTTGCTTGTGATAAAGGAAACTGAGCAAAAATAAATGTACAGTACTTAGGGTTTTTTTTCTCTTAGTGGAATAATAAGCTTAAAAGCAGTCATAGCCTACATATGAGGTAGTTATACTAACAAGAGGCAAAAGAAAGTTTTATGTTTAGTAAATTAAGTTTTATCTTAGATTTTCTACTGCAGTAAAGAGACAGCATAAGCAGGGCAAATCTTTTAGGGAGAACACCTAATTAAGGTGGCTCACTTATAGTTTGAGATCTTTAGTCTATTATCATTACAATGGGGAGCATGGTGTTCCGCAAGCATACATGGTTCTGGGCACATCTTGATCAGAAGGCAACAGGAAGTGTACTGTGACACTGACTAAGTTTAAGCAAAAGAGATTTCAGAGCCCACCTCAACAGCGTTACACATTCTCCACAAAGCTACATCTACTTCAGCAAGATCATACCCCCATTGTTGCCACTTCCTTTCAGGGCCGTTTTCTTTCAAAACACCATAGTTTGCATTATTGTTTGACAAATGATCTTATAGCTAACCACTCAGCCCAGAACACATTTACTGTTTTGTTGTTTCTTCCGGTTTCTTAGTAGTTAGACTCGAGGCAAGGCTCAGCAGACTGTTTTGCTCAAAGACTTTTGCACAGACCTCTGACTAAGGTATTGGTGTGGCTGCAGTCCTATCAGGAGACTCATCTAAGAAAATATTTTTTTTTTAAATCTCCATGTTCTGGATGTGAGCTTGCTTGGCAAGTGTGTATCAAGCATATACAAAATCCTATATTCCATACTTGGCAACTCACACTGGGTATGGTGTTGTGTGCATGTAATTTCAGCCTTGATAAATTGGGAGCAAAAGGATTGAAATTCACAGTTGCTTAGCTGCACAGTGAGTTCAAGAGCAGTCTAATTACATAATGCCATCTTGTTAATTAGATGATAGAAAAATAGATAGGTGATAGATACTTAAATGTTCTTCAAATATAAACACACATGCACACAAAAACAAAGACACAAACACACACATAGTTGTATGTAACACACATGTTTTATATACACACATAATCTGATAAATATGGTTGTATTGAAAAGACATGACACAATATATTTATCTAAAAGCCATTCTGAATTTTGTAAAATTTCATTTTTATAACCCAGTATTATGCCTCACTAATTTTAAGAGCTTTATAGACTTTAGTTAAAATGTCTTTGTTTGTAGGTCTCAGATTGTAATCAATATGGTAGATATGCTTCAGATTGTTTTCAAATTCTGAAACAGATCCTATATTTTCCAATATAATCTAGTGTGTTAGCAGTTTTGAAATAATATGGCTCACAAAATTATATACATTATT